AGTTGCTAGAGCCTCCGCCGCCGCCACCGCCGCCGCCGCCTCCTCTTGCCGCGCCGGAAGGGCCAGCGGCATGCTTGGTGGTGACCGCGCTGCCCGATGATGGTACCCGAGCGTGCTGCTGCTGCTGCTGCTGCTGCTGGCCTCCAGCTGCTGCTGCCTGCTGCTTGTGTTGCTGCGCCGCCGCCGCCGCCGCCGAAGCCGCCGCCGCCGCCGCCATCCCCGACAACGCCCCGCTGCTGCCCCGAGTGTGGCCGAGACTACTGCCACCACCATCCCCACCCGTTGCTGCTGCTGCTGCAGCAGCAGCAGCGCTTTTCCCTCTCGCGCCCGTACCCGTCGCAGCAGGAACCACCAGCGACGGGGAGGTCTTGGACAAGGCGCTGCTACCGGTGGCGGCGGTGGAGGCGGAGGGCTCAACTCCTGCCCCCGCCGCTCCCGCCCCGACGCCCGAAGCCGGCCGTTTCTTCTCTGTGTTGGTGTGCGAGAAGGAGGTGTTGCCTCCGGTGCCGGAGGCGTTATCCTTGGCCGTCCACGACAGCGGGTTGGCGGGGCCGAAGCCGCCCTTGATCAGCCTCGGCGAAGAGGGCCCCGTCGCCGAAGGCTGCTGCTGCTGCACCAGCAAGGACGACGGCGCGTCCCCGCCCCCCCGTTCTGTTGCTCTCTTTCGCGGGGAGGACGGCCCGTCGCCCCTCTCTTTCCTCCTGACCGGGCCGCTGTTGGCCCTCACCACCCCGCCCCCCCCGACGGATGCTCCTGCCGTCACCGCCGCGCTAGCAGAGGAAGCGCCGCGGTCCCCTGCTAGCGAAGGAGGGTCAGGAGGAGGCGGCGAAGAAGCGTTTGATCGCCCCGGCCCGCCACCGCCGCCTCCGCTCGCCGCAGCGGCTCCGGCAGGCGGGTCGACCTGTTGTGAGGTAGCAACCACCCCTGCCGCGCCGGCCCACCCGTAGGTGATCCTGGGAGGCAGCGGCGGGGGCGCCACGCCCGACACCGCCGCCGCAGCTCCCGACGGATCCTGCTGCTGCGAGCCGCCCCTCTCGGCAACCCCGCTGTGGGTAGGGCTACCCTCGTTATCCCGGCGCGGCGGCAGGGGTGGCGGGTGCGTCCTCTCTCTCCGAAGCGCCAACTGCTTCTTGCTGCCGCCCTCGCCACCGCCGGCTGCCGCCGCCGCTGCCGCTGCCGGGAGTTGGTAGGTGGTCTGGCTTTCTTCGCCGACGGGGGTAACGGGCCGTTCGCTGCCTCCCAGCGTGAGCGTGTCGAAGTCGCTGAGCATCGGGGCCGCCGCCGCCGCTGACGCCGCCGCCGCCGCCGCCTGGTGCCCGTTGTCACCGTTGCCTTCGTTCGAGCTTTTTCGCCTCCCCGACACCTCATCCTTCCTCCTGCTCCCCCCCGCCCCCTTGCCCTTCTCTGGCGGCATTCTCGAGGGCGACGCGGTGTGACCCCCTCCGCCGCCGCCGCCGCCGCCGTCCAAGGCAGCAGCAGCCCGCAAGTCCCTGGCTGACAAGGACCTACCGGTACGCCTGGAGGAGGAACCAGCGGCGTCGGTAGCACTCGCGCCGTTGGCCTGCTTCCTCCAGCGAGTCTCGCTCGTCCTCTCCTCGCCCGCTCCGGCCAAGGGGCTAGGGTGGCTGGGAAACGACGCTTGTCCTCCTCCGCCGCCGCCGCCGCCGGGGGGAGCACCGGAAGAGTCGGTTGCCCACGGCCCGAGGTTCCTTCCCCCCTCCCCTTCCGACTGGTTGCTCTGGCGGCGCACGCCGAAGGTGCCGTCCTTCGCCTGGCCGGAGGACGGGGCGCGGCTGTCGGGACCCTGCCAGCTGTAGTAGTTGCCCCACTCGCTCCCGTCGTCTCCATCGCCGTCGCCTTTGACCTGCGTGCACGTGGGTGTCTTCACCGTTAGCAT